TCTCTCTCTGACACACACACTCTCTCTGGCACACACACACACACGTTGACAGAGATCCCACGTCGTCGTCACAAGTGAACAATGCACCAGCAGTCCCCTGCTGGTACCTGTCCCCATCACCACAACTTCACAGGGATAAAGTCGACATGGCTTCTTGATGCTTTTGCTTGCAATGCGCCTGGCCAGATCCCGTCCCCCCCCCCCCCAACAGCCAAAAAATCAATCATTCATCGCCCCACATGGCTTGACATGCTCTTGCTTCTTGCCCTGTTCTGTTCTTATCCGTGATTTCAGCGTGTGCGAGCGCACAAAACAGAGAGAGATCAAGGGAGATTTATTGACCCGCGTGGGTGCGCGTTGAAGACGTGTCACCCACAAACGAATACACAGAGACAGACAAGATGCACCGGCTGTGCAATTGAAACACGATGATACAAGAACACAAGAATGCACGTCAAGGGCATCACGAGCGTGTCGACAACACGCACGTGCAGAGTGCGACAAGAAAGCCAAAAGGCGGAAAAACACACGCAACAAGAACTTGTGTGCATGCGTGAATACGTGTGTGTGTGTGTGTGTGTGTGTGTGTGTGTGTGTATGTGCAAGTCTACCACGAGGAGTCCTTTGAGGAGTGCTGGGCGCCGGTCTCGGCCTCCTTCTCGTACTCGATGGACACGCGCGATCGCGCCTTGCGGCTGCAAACAAACAACGAAAAGGAGGGAGTAGCAGATGGACAAGGTCATCGGTGAGTATGAACAACAAGAGAGATTGAAAAGAGGGGGGAATTGGGGGGGGGGGCACACGACGAGCAGAAGCAGCGCGCATGAGAAATCAATCACAATCACAATCACAGTCACATACGCACGGCAACACGCACACAGAGAAGCACAACCACAAGCGCACGTGAACACGCGCACACGCACGCACCGCAGGAGAAGGGCGGCAGCGCTGGCGAGCGCCTGTTGCCGCTCCTCCTTTGTTGGCTTCTTCTGTGCTCGGCTTTCAGCCTCTTCATCGCCATCACCTTCGTCATCATCCTCCTCCTCATCATCATCCTCGCCCTCTCCCTCTTCTCCATCCTCCTCATCTTCATCTGTGTCTGCAAACAGCTCGTCAAGGCCTTCCTCCATATCGTAATCCTCCATGTCCTTGGTCTCGTCCTCCTCATCCTCCTCATACTCCGCCACAAACTCGTCAGCCGCCATCTGCCACATCAACGATGGTGGTGGTGGTGGTTCGTGCATGTGAGCATGGGTGTCAGACAGCAAAATTTGGAGACATAAAGGTAGCTCGCAAATGGGCACAGTCATACACATCTACACGCACACGCACACACACGCACGCATCCATACACACACGCACGCACGCACAACACCAGTGCTTTGCTTACCGGGTCGGCCTGCTTCTCCTCCTCGTCTTCTTCGTCCTCCTCGTCCATGTCCTCGGGCTCCTCATCAGCCTCGCCCTCCTTGTCCAGCGCAGAGTTGAACGCGTTCTCGGGGAAGTTGTACACGCCCTCGTACGTGCCGTCTTTCAGCCGGTCAAGCAGCTCCTTCTCAATCACCTTGTTGATGTGCGCGGCCCGGAGCGCCTTGAGCTCGCGCCGTGCCTCTCGTCGCTCAACCTGATACAGCAAAGTTGCACAACATGGACACATAAACAGGTAAATGATGCAACACGTGGAGGGTGAGAAAGGGGGTGGGTGCAAACCATGCACAATTGAGTTGAGTTGAGTGCTCAGTTGTGTGTGTGTGTGTGTGTGTGTGTGTGTGTGTGTGTGTGTGTGTGTGTGTGTGTGTGTGTGTGTGTGTGTGTGTGTGTGTGTGTGTGTGGTGGTGGGTGGGTGGGTGGGTGGTGTGTCTCTCTCTCTCTCTCACCAACTCACACACACACACTCTCTCTCTCTCACCAAGTCACACACACACACTCACTCTCTCTCTCTGTCTCTCCCACTCACACACACACACACTCTCTCTCACACACACACACTCTCACACACACACACTCTCGCTGTACACGTCAACGCGCCCCGCTTCTAAGAATGCGGCGGGCTTCACATCGTGCTCAGTGGGAGAGAAGGCGCACGAGCAGACAAGTGCAGTTCCGACCTTCTTGTTGCGGGTGATGAGCTTGCGTTGTGGTTTCAGGGCGAGCTTGCGCATGCGGATGAGATACTGTGTGATTTTGGTGAGGCGCTGCTTGCAACGCAGCTTGAGCCAGGACGGCCAGTACTGCATGTGTGCGTCAATCTGCTTCAGCGCCTCGGCGTAGTTCTGCTTCAGCTTGATCTTCTCCCACATGTGTTTTGGCGTGTGCGCCCTCTCAATCGTCTTGATGCACAGGTATATCCTCCCTGTGAACGCAAAATGAAAACAACGACACATGCACGCAGGGAGAACAAACAAGGTTGAGCCGACCATTGTTGGGTGAGGGCGGGGGCGGATCACAACAGAGGAGGAGCCAACATGTCACGTCCAGAAATGTCAAACGGAATCGACGACGAGCGACACGTTTGACGACACACACACACGCACACACACACGCACACAGAGACACACACACGCACACGCACGCACCTCTGTGCTCGCGAATCGTGGCGTAGTTTGAGTTTGCCAAAGGGCATGACCGGCGGTTGCAAAGGCCTATGAACAGAAAAGAAAGAACAAGTGTGAGACACGCAAGCGAAACCCACCAGAGCTGGAAAAGGATAGCACATATCCACACATGCCCAAACACTCGCCCAAACACACGCCCGCGCACGCACGCCTCAGCCAACCTGTGACGTTGTATTTGTGACGGCAGAATGCTTGCTGCACAGTTCTGTTGAGGCCAAGATTGTGTCACATTGAGCGAGTAAGCAACGCGATAGCACGAACAAGACAGCGACAGCGATCGTTCAAGCGTGGATATGTTCACCAGCACCATGGACAACCCGCACCAAACGCATACATACACACATTCACGTGCGCGTACTTTGCTTTGAACGTGCAGAAGTTCTTGTTGATGACGCTCCAGATCACTTGGTCGTGCTGCATGGTGGCGTCGGGGGGGAGGGAGGTTGTTGTTTACACGCGCAGAGCGCACGGACGGGATGGGGGGTGGTCGGAGACGAGAGTGGAGGCAGTCAAGGTTTTGGTGTTGTGTATGTGTGTGTGTGTTTGTGGTTTGGTGCCAACACGTGGTTGTGAAAATTGGTTGAAATTTTACACCAATTATCGACCCACGCGGCTTGGCTGTGCTGTTGTTTTGACTTTGCTGGCTGGCTTGTTGGCTGGCTTGTTGGCTGGCTTGCTTGCTTGCTGGCTTGCTTGCTTGTTGAGTTGACTTGGCTTGAGTTTGCTTTACTTTATCCACAACACCACCTCGCACACTGAATGAAGAAGACAGAGATCCTAATGCACAGTGGCACACGTACACATCACACACATTCACGTTAAACGCTCTCACGAAGAGCAAGGAACGAGAGGAGGAACAAGAGGAAGAGCAAGAGGAAGAACAAGAGGAGGAATCAAGCCTATGTCATGACAATCACGTGATGGGATGGGCTCATGGCATGGTTTGCAGCAGCGGGTCGGATTCAGTCACTGCACGGTGATCACGGTGGATGGAGGCATGGATGGTGTGAGTTGAATGCAAAGGAGTGGTGATGAAGAGCAGGACATACTGCAAGACCCAAACACCCAATCACGCACCGATAGGCACAAACACACACGCACGCACAGACACAGACAGACACACCCGCATACACATACACACAGACACACAGACACACAGACACACGCACCCTCACACACATACAAGCACACACGCACGCGCACACACAGACACACAGATACACACTGCAATCACGAGGGCAACGTGCGCGACTACGTACGTTTGGTCTTGCCATTTGCGCTGGCGCTGGTGTTGCCACCAAAGCAGAGGAACTGGCAGAAGATGGTAAAGTCGAAGATGAGGGTGCCGACGGAGCCAAGCAGCCAGGGCATGTGGTCAATGAGGAAGTCCCTCTCCACGCTCTGCAGCAGCACGCCGAGCGCATATGTGATGTTGCCGAGAATGGCCATACAGAACATGGCCAGCGACAGGCCCTCGCACGACCGCCGCCGAAACTGCGGTGGTGGTTTTGTCGGTGTAATGAAGGATTGGGTGTGGGGGGGGATGCGGTTGGGAAGAGATGAGTTTGCGGATGGTAAAAATAAGGTGTGTGGCATGATAGGCAGTGGTAGCATGATAGGTAATGGTGTTTCAGACACACACTCAGACACACACACACATACACATACACACAATTCATACACACATACACACAATTCATACACACAGTCAAAACGTACGTTCTTGACAATCTGTGGGATGCGTGAGGTGAAGTACATGAGCCCGGAGACCCATCCGATGGACCAGCCCGCAATGGAGGTGGCCGACTGCACATTGCCATGGTGGCAGTGATAACAAGCGCGTGAGAGTGGAAGGATTGGTGTGAGTACACGCATGAAGAATCAGCAGTGGCGACAACACGAGCGCCAATGAACAAAAGCCAGTGCACGATACCACACCTACACACACACACACACTCACACACACACACACACATGCACACATGCACACACACATGCACACATTTACACACACGCGCGCCTACCGAGAAGGAGTTGATGGTGAGGAGGTTGCGTCCGTGGTGCGTCGCTGACGACGATGCAGACGCCTCGAAACTGTCGCCCCCGCCAAGTTGCTGCGCCTTCATCAGCAGTGGGCTCAGCGCCAGCACGCACACGACCGAGTACACCACATATACCTTGCCCGGCTTGCGACGGAACTGCCACGTGCAGAAAGGAAACCCCAAAGGAGAAAAGTGGCGGGAATCAAGAGATCCGGGTGGACGAGTGGAATGAAGGGAGAATTCCAAAGAAGACGAGGGGGAGGTGGGTAAGCGTGGATGAAGGTTCTTGGTTTCGTTGTTTGTTGTGTGGGAGCAGGGGATAAAGCAAGATGCGAAGAACAAAGGAAGCAGAGGGTGGCAGATGCAGGTTGCACGTGCGTACCTTGTTGTAGTACAGCCATTGCACAAGCATGCATGTGTCGATGATGCAAAACCATATCGCAGTGTACAGCTGCAGATGGCAAAACCGAACGAGGGCGGTGGAGGGATCAGGACGAAGGTGATGACATCCAGCATGCATGAGACGTGAGCCAGCCAAGGAACAACAACACCCGCGACCATACCAACATACTCTTGCTCACGTGTTCACACACACACACACACACACACACACACACACACACACACACACACACACACACACACACACACACACACACACACACACACACACACACGCACACGCACCTGTGTTGGGACTTGTTTGGTTAGAATGCAGCCGACAAGGTTTGTAATGTCGCCGGCAAGCCAGTCTGCAAGAAAAGCACCGGACAGGCCTTCAGCGGTGGAGTTACGAAAGTTCTTGTACAATTGCCTGTCAGGGAGCACGCACAATGCGAAGCAGAGCACTTGGGTGAATCGGCGATCGCAACATGGATGATAGTGTGTGGACGCATGGCACCAACACCCCAACATACACAACAGGCACGCCACCTCACACGCACACACACGCAACCACATGCACACAACCACATGCACACAGTCACACGCACAGTCACACACACAGTCACACACACAGGCACACACACACACATGCACACGCGCATGAACGTACGGAGTTTGTGCGACCATCCAACAGAGGATGGAGCTGAGACCGAGGATGAGGCCCGCAAGCTGGCGTTCGTTGTGGACGCACTCGCCGAGATACTTGTCGGCCCATTGGTATTCGCAGGAGCTGCTGTTGCTGCTGCCGACGAGGCTGGCAGCAAGGGTTGGAGCCAAATCCATGTGGATGGGTGCTGGTTCTGGTTGTTGAGGATGGAAGAGTTCAGGGGGCAGGATTTGGAGGAGGAGGAGGAGGAGATCGACGTGGAGTAGATTGAGAGCTGTAGGTCGTGGAAACAAGGTCTGCTGAGGCTGCTAGACGAGTGCCTTCACATCAATCCAACAACAAGAACAACAACAACCTCAAGGAAGGGTTTCAGGAACGTGAGGTGGCTGTTCGTGTTCGAGGGTTCTTGCTGCAATCAATCACACGTACAAAGGCCGATGGACGCTTAAAGTCGATCTCACGGCTTGATCCCAGGTTCGTGCTTGCTTGCTTGGCAAATAGATACAGTGCCTGCAACGCGACGTGTGGATCACGTTAGCGTAGCCTTTGCCTTGCTTGTCTGCTTGCTTGCTCCACAGGGTGGTGCGAGTCAGGTGACCGCGGGCGACACGCAGAACGAGGTTTGAACTGCGCACGACCGCGGTCTGCGCACCCATCGAATCGACAAAAAGAAAAAAAAAAACGGGGGGAAGAAGGATAAT